TCAGGGACACATTCCCTTGAGATTTTGGGGACATTGTGTTTTGGCAGCTGTGTATATTATCAATAGGCTACCTTCAGTTGTTCTACAGGGAAGATCACCTTATGAATTATTTCATGGGAAGAAGCCAAGTATGCTACACTTGAGAACTTTAGGGTGCTTATGCTTTGCTAGTGTTTTGCCTAGACAAGATAAATTCAGTCCCAGGGCAGTTAAAGCAGTGATGATGGGGTATTCTAATGTCACCAAAGGATACCTTTTATACAATTTGGAGAAAAGGGAGTTCTTTATCAATAGGGATGTTGTTTTCAAAGAAGGAGTGTTCCCTTTCAAGGATATTGAGGGGCCTGTCTTACCAACTTCCTGTCAGGAAGGTGGTTTCTCTAACAATCCTTTTTTGTTTGCAGATATTAATTCTAACATCCATACCCCTGTAGTAGAGACATTGCAGCCTCAAGCTTCTGTAGATACTGCTGTGCAAGAAACCAATACACCATCTCATCTCCTGCCCATTGATACAAGTCTACCTAATGGTTCTTCTATGAACAATCGTGTACCACACAGTGACTTCTCACATAATAGTTTACCTGGTNTTTACCAATTCCTGTCACGGAAGGTGGTTTCTCTTAACAATCCGTTTTTTGTTTGCAGATATTAATTCTAACATACCTACTTCTGTAGCAGAGACATTGCAGCCTCAAGCCTCTGTAGATACTGATTTGCAAGAAACAAATGTACCATCTCATCTCCTGCCCATTGATACAAATCTGCTCAATGGTTCCTCTGTGGACAATCAAGTACCACATAGTGACTTACCTGGTCCTTCCACCCAAGTCAATGAGGATGAAATCTTTGAAGAACCCTCCATCTATTCATCAGATACTTCAACACCGTTAAGGAGATCTGGAAGAGTGACTAAACAACCATTGTGGTTGACAGACTATATAGTGCCTCTGCCAGCTAAGAAACCTAACTCTATGGCCAATTATCTCACATATGATCATATATCCTCCTCTTACAAAGCATATTTAGGGGTTTTTTCAGCAATATCTGAGCCTACATCTTTTTATGAGGCATGCAAAGATGCTCGATGGATAGAGGCAATGCAGACAGAGCTAGCAGCACTACAAGCTAACAACACCTGGGAGTTGGTCTCTTTGCCACCAGGGAAGACCCTCATTGGGTGTCGATGGGTATACAAAGTCAAGCTTAAAGCAGATGGAGCAATTGAAAGATTTAAAGCTCGACTAGTAGCCAAAGGCTATAGTCAAAAGGAAGGACTTGACTATAATGAAACATTTTCCCCCGTAGTCGAGATTGCTACTGTCAGAACTGTGCTCTCACTAGCTGCTATGCACAACTGGCATATTCAACATATGGATGTATACAATGCCTTCTTGCATGGAGATTTAGATGATGAAGTCTATATGGAGATGCCACAGGGATTTTCAAGTCAGGGGGAGACAATTGGCAAACCTCAATTAGTTTGCAGACTTGATAAATCCCTGTATGGATTGAAGCAAGCCAGCAGACAATGGAATCTGAAATTAACAGAATCTCTATTAAAGTCAGGTTTCAAACAAAGCAGTCTTGATCATTCTTTATTCATTAAACAGCATCAATGTGATATAGTAGTTATTCTTGTTTATGTTGATGATATGCTGATTGCTGGAAATAATCAGCAGTTGATACAGACAACAAAAGATTTCTTGCACAAGGCATTCAAGATTAAAGACCTAGGAGAGCTAAAGTTTTTCCTGGGAATGGAATTTAGCAGATCAAGTAAAGGTATTCTGTTTAATCAAAGAAAATATGCCTTGGAAATCATATCAGAATTGGGGCTTGGAGATGCTAAACCAGCTTGGACACCTCTTGAAGTCAATGTGAAACTTACTGTGCCAGAATATGATAAGTACAGGCAACAAAGATGATAATCTACTTGAAGACAAGGGGCAGTATCAACGACTAATAGGAAAATTGCTGTATTTGACACTAACAAGACCAGATATAGCATATACAGTCCAAACACTCAGCCAGTTCCTTCAACAACCAAAAAGATCTCATTGGAATGCAGCCATGAGGGTTGCTAGGTACATAAAGAGGGAACCAGGGCTAGGAGTATTATTCAGCAGTGAGAAATCGCATAAGATCTCTGTGTTTTGTGATGCAGATTGGGCATCATGTCCTAACACAAGAAGATCAGTGTCAGGTTTTTTGATCAAGTATGGTGAATCACTGGTTTCTTGGAAGTCCAAGAAGCAAAGCACAGTGTCGAAAAGCTCAGCAGAAGCTGAGTACAGGAGCATGGCCAGTGTTGTTTCTGAAGCTGTTTGGCTGATTGGATTGCTAAAAGAATTGGGAGCAGATATGATACTACCAGTTGAATTGTACTGTGATAACAAGGTAGCTTTGCAAATAGCTACCAATCCGGTATATCATGAGAGGACTAAACATATTGAAATTGATTGCCATTTCATCCGAGAGAAAATACAAATGGGACTAATCAAGACACAACTTGTGGCTTCGAAGGATCAATTAGCAGATATATTGACAAAGGGACTCACTAGAATGCAACATAAATCATTGACTGGCAAGCTGGGAGTACTTAGTGTTTTTGTACCCACCAGCTTGAGGGGGAGTGTGAAAATAGGAGTTACTTAATTAGTAGTGGGCCTTTTTGTAAATATCATTAGTTAAGTGGGTCATTAGTGAGATTAGTTAGACATATAAATAGGGGCAGTTATTGTACAATATTAACTAACGATTTCATTCCTTCTTCTCTGAATATATCGAAGCTCTCCTCTTCCTTCTTCATTTCTCTCTTACCTCCATTCTTAGATCTAGGGTTGAGATCACATTCAACCATAAATCAATACAAAATACTTTCATAATGCTTGGGAATATTATCAACCACCTCATCTACTTTGAGCGCTAGCATTGTCAATTTTTTGCAGTTCATAAAGCAATTTAGCTCGGGAGACGGATATAGCCTTAGGGGCAGGTTCATCTGAACCCATAACTTTCAACCCAGAGTATATATATGTGTGTGTGTGTGTGTGTATATATACATATATATACATATATATATGTGTGTGTGTGTGTGTGTGTGTGTATGTGTGTGTGTGTGTGTTGATATATATATATATATATATATATATATATATTTCTATTAAGGTATCAATAAATATTATATTTGAATCATAATTTTAACAGTATAATGAGTTCAATACTGAAAATTTAAAATGTTACTAAATTTAATTGTTGAATCCGCCTCTACTTGCATGTGGTCCTTCAATTTTGTTTTAGCAAAATAAAGTCGAGAAATTTTCATAAAGCACTATCTTTTAGTAGTAATTAGCCATCTATAGATATCATTTGCTATATTACGGATTATAGATACCTTTTCTGTGGTTATAAGATGTATTTGAAGTATTTAAGCTATTGTATTCATGAATACAGTAGCAAAAATAGGCGTGAATCGGGAAAGTCCAGCTAATCAGTTGTTGTATTCGAGTGTATTCGACCGTATTCATGGAGTGAAACATGGGATTACAGCTGGACAGATTATTGTATTTGACTGTATTCACGGCGTGAAATAGGGGATTACACTGTTTTTAAAACGGAAAGTGAATAAATTAACATAATAGACTCCTAATATAACTCAACAAACTCAATTATAACACACAAATTTTGTATTTTCAGTTATAAAAAAGATTCTCAACCGAAAAATACCCCAAAAACATAGCAACCTTCAGAGAAATTATATAATACATCTGAATACATAAATTATCTTAATTAAAAAAAATATTAAAAGGTATCTATAGAATATAATTTTTTTTTAAATGGTATTTATTTAAAATAAATAAAGTGTTAATCTTTGCTATAGGAGGTAAAAATTCCAATAAAGTACAGTACTAATGGGATAAGATGCATGCATCTCTAAGCATACAAAGAAAAAGAGCTTAATGTAGTTTTATAAGTTATAAGTATAATGTAGTTTGATCTGGCTCCAAGAATTCTTTTCCCAGATCGATTACCAATTTATACTTGATTGGGAAAAGGTTCAATATGCCTATGTACTATTTGATATTGTTTAATGTTACTTCAAGGTTAAATCGACAAGAAGAGGGGGCGTTAATAACACAAAAATGTGTGGTTGGCTCAAAGGTTATTCCTTCCAAACGAAGAGTTATAAGATTCTGAAAGCCAAAAAAAGAATTTGGTTGTTTGAAGACGCAGTTGAAGAGTTTTATAACTGTCAGGGTTGGACCCTCACACACGAGACTGTTCAAATATGACTTCTTGCATTTATATTCCTACAAAACCAATAATATGATGATATTAAAATATGAAAAACTATTCTGTCTCCTGAATCAAGCCTTAGAGTGTATTGGAAAGTGGTGAAACTTTTGCAGTTTTCAAAAGGTCTGCACAGTTTGACCAAATAAATATTGTTCATACTTGCATTCAAATGGAAATCTCAGAAGAGAAAAACTTATAATCCCTCCATTTCTTTCCTCTTATGAACCAAACAGCCAAAGTGAAATATTTTCATTTTCTCTTCTTATCCATTCCCTCTTTTGGTTGTTACCAAACAGGTGTTAGAAATACAAATGAAAGACAGTAGAAAAGGACGGCTAATCACTTACATCATTGCCCGGTGCACTAAGGATCTATTGAACGCAGGCTTACCATCCGAAGCTCCAAAACATCTAATGAAGAACAAATTTATAGAATGAGCAGTATTTATCCTGATTGAAGAGCACAAGCAAAAAATACTTGCATCGGCTCTATAAAAGAGTAAGATAGGAGCAGGAGAAAAAGAATCAGTTTCGTGTTGTTGCAGGCTCAGACTCTAAAACAAGAGGATTTCCAGGCCACCAATTGGTAAAGCTAAGATGAGAGTTATTCTAATAGGATCAACATCAATTGTATCTCTTTTCTTAGTGATTCTTCCTTGTCGAGATTAATCTCTCACGAAGAACGTTGCTAATGTTGTCCAACTGATGCATAACTTGACGATGTCCACGCGCAATATTGATATATGTATCCAAAAGGGATTATAAGAGAACAAAAAAGAACTTAGGCAACAAATTCAATGTACAAACAGGGGATATTCATCTGACTACTATTTGCATGATGTACTCATCTGAAAGAATATTAATATCTTGCTATAAGACCATGAAGCAGTTGTTTGTTGCAGTTCAACTTGAATCTGACCATTAGTTGAAGCAAACAAGGTTATCATTTATTAATGTACTTATTGTTGATCCCTTTGTTGTTAAAAAACATTGTAACGACTTCCTGAGATAGATTCACTGATAGAATTGATGCCTTGTTTGTGGATCTATCAATGGAGTTTCACTTGTTATTGGCCCTTTTGGTAAATTTATTATCCAGCTGCTTATATCTCACAAGGCTTTTGAATATATACATTCCTTATCAGTAAATAAGGATCATCTAATTGTGGCTAATGGAGAAATCTGCAGATAGTGACATCTCTAAAGAGAAATTAAAAATCTATTCCACATTTGGCAAATACAATAGCTCTGCCTTAAGGGAACTCCACAAAATTGCCAATTTATTCCAGCATCAATCTGCCTTACTAGCCTCAAACAACAGAAACGCATCAATTCTGTTGTGGTGACATCTCTTTCTTCCCTCGTACCAATGGCTCTCTTCGACTTAATGGACATCCTTACCAAAGATGGAGCACGAGCAAATAATAGCTTTACTAAAAGCAGTTCAGTTTTTGAACCTTTAAACCAATGCATGGTCACATATTCAAGATTGTTTAGTGGTCGGTCCAAGCAGGCTGCCATGTCAAGATAACTCAAAGCTGCTTCGTCATTATCGTTGAAATCATAGACCTAATTATGGTGTCAAATAAATACCAAGTCAGTTTAGCTTCTCATCATGTTTATATATATATATACATACATAACCACGTGTACCCTTCTTACCCAAACATCAAGTTGACTCAAATTGGGGGAACCCCTAATTTACTCCTGAAACATCAAGATCAAACTTCACAATGTCTCCAATATGCTGTAACAGAATCTCGTCAACCGTTTCTTTGAACACAGATTGAGATTTTACAGCCAATTTATTGCAAAAGTGCATATCCAGCACCAAAGTCGGAAGCATGGCCCAAATGTATCTCCATTTTAATACTTGTTCTAGCTGCGTCCTGAACCGGCAAGAGCTCAAGGATACGATCTATAATGTTTCTTGGTAGCCGACTGAGTCTATCTTCTCTATCCTCTTCAACAACAGCTCCTTTACTATCTGTTAAAAGAAGTAGAGTATTCTTAGGCTTAAAGCTAATAATCCCAAAAGAAAATAAAAGAGAGATTTTATGTTTCATACCTTGAGACATGCTGATTGTAGCTTTATGGTGAGATGGCGTTTTTTATGGTGAGACGGAGAACAAAGATGTCTATATATATATTGTTTAAAGTGTCTCTACGTTATCCATCAAAAGTCACAATAAATAAGAGCAATCAATTCTTGTACTTGATCAACACAATCAATCTTCAAATACATTGTTCCATAATGTATTTATATTTTCTATACATAATAATTAGTACGTGAAAAGATTAATGTTCCCTAGAAAATTGCATCTCCAGATTAATGTTTGATATCTTTTTTCATTATTTTTTCGTCTGTTAGTTTATTGAAAATTTTGCATCTCTAAATTTTCCGAATGCATCTATCATTGTCCAAATCTGGCCAGAAATTAATATATCATGACTTATCATGCAAAATGAAACATTAATAAATACATCATCTTAGGTAGCAAAGTAATTTTTTTTAAAGAAATTGGATGTATGATCAATAATATTAGAAGAAAGAATGCACCGAAAAGTAGGGAAAATATTTTCTTGCATTTACATTCCAGAAAAAAAAAATAGCACGATGCAATTAAAATATGAAAAATTCTTCGACTGGATTAAGGGTGGCATTTTTATTTGAGTGCCGCTAAACGATCACACTAATGTGGCCCGACTGTGACCACACTAGTGAAAATACATCAACGTCCTCATTCCTATTTCTCCCTACAATTTTTTCTCCAAAACAAAATATTATATATGGAGAGCTTCTTCCTATTCCCAAACATTGAGCAACGTGAAATCATCCATGTTCACATACGGAGGAAGCTGGAAAAGTCTTTACATTCATTGTATTTTATGTTTATAGCAAATTATTGTATTTAAAAAAATATGGTATATGATCACATTAACGGCTGTAATCCTTCTCCTTTTTCTTCCTTAATCTAAAAATGAATTCAAACCAAGAAAATTTGGCTGTGCAAGAAAATATGAATCCAAATGAACATAACACAAATACAACAATCATGAATATGAACCAAGATAATAAGTTTGTTCGAGTTAGGGACTAGTGTACAGATCTTTAGGGATGACATTAGACGACAGTTTGTTGAATGAATAAGAATGAGTCGATATTGATTCTCACGGCAGTTCCAACAATGATGTGCTAGATGATGATGATGAAGAACCCGATGGAGAATATTATGGAGAAGCTGATGATGAGGAGGAGCAGTTTTTAGGAAATGAGTTAGAGTTATATGATGTTGATAGGGAAATGGAGAATGATTTCACTAAAGAAGATGTGGTTGTAGGTCCAATCTCCGGAATGTGATATAGAGATAAAGATTCTTTGTTTGCATTCTACAAAAAAACATGTATGGTTGAAAGGATTCTCCGTCGTCAAACGAAATTCCAACAAGAAGGGTGGTGACACTGCCAGCTACATAACTTACTGTTGTGATAGGGCTAGGATTCACAAAACTAAGTTTAGCACCAAGAGTAACAATTATAAAGCTAGGCACTAGTGTTTTGGATGATTCTGGTTATTGGCGCATCTCTAAGGTCGTTCACGATCACAATCATGATTTGGTCCCTTCCATATCGCGCATGATGACTAGACATAGGTCCGTTTGTGATGCTTTGAAGAGGAATCATGTAGCTCACGATCGATCTTGCATTAGAGCCTTCAAGAATATTAGACTTGCTGAGGTTCAATGTGGTGGACCGCAAAATTTGGGTTGCACTCGAAAAGATTGTAGAAATTTTATTTTAAAGAGTAAAAATTTTAAAATGCAACAAGGGGACGCATAGTCATTTTGCTCAAGTTTTTTCGTGAAATGCAGGTAAAAGATAAGGAGTTTTTCCATTCAATATACGTTGATAATATTGGTAAGCTGCGAAATGTGGTATGGGTGCACTCACACTAAGGCGGCGTATGAGCAATTCCATGATGATATGCTTTGATACGACGTACCTTGTGAATCCCTATAATATGCCCTGTGCTACATTTGTTGGCATCAATCACCATAGACAGTGCATCTTACTGGGATGTACTCTCATGTCTTGTGAAGATATCGATAGTTACAAATTGGTTTTTAAAACTTGGCTTGAGGCCATGGGAAATATTCATCCAGATGCTATATTTCATAGGTATTGTATTTGGCATATATTTTCAAAGTTGCCTCTTTACTTAAGTGTGTTCGTCCTTCTAAAATTGCACGTGGAGATTAAATTCATGGTCTTTGATAGCATTAGTGTTGAAGTTTTTGAGAGAAGTATAATTTGCATACAAGGAATTGGTTCAACAAGCTTTACTCTGAGAAGGAAAAATGGGTTCTTGTGTACCTTGATGTGTATTTTTGGGCCGGTATGCTATCTACACAAAGAAGTGAGGGGATGCATGCGTTCTTTGATGGATATATTACCCGTCAAAGCACTCTTAGGATGTTTGTTCACTAGTACGAGTTAGCTATAAGAGCTAAGCATGAGAAAGAGTTGGAAGCAGAATACAAGTCACAGGCTTTCAAATTGTGTGTGAGTCATTGTTCAATTGGGAGGAGCAGGTAATTCAGTCTTATACGCGTACAGTGTGTGAATTTTCAAGACACAACTAAGCAAATTATATCATTATGAAGTCAGCAACCCCAACGATCATCAAGTTGTCCCTGGTATTGAGAAATTCATCGTTAGTGATTATTCAGTTGTAAAAAAATTGGTGGAAATCCAGTAGAGTACACTGTTAAATATACACCTATCAGCGATTATTTTAGTTGCAGCTGCAAATGGTTTGAGTCTAGAGAGATACTTTGTTGTCATATACTCAAGATCTTGTCGCACATGAAGATTGATAAAATTGATGAAAAGTATATACTGACAAGGTAGAGAAACGATATTATTCGGCCACACTTGAATCGATTCCATCAAGTTGGTTACCCAAACATGACTCCTGAGTACAAGACATACATGAGCATGTTTAAGTATTTTGACATGGCTTGTGATATAGCATTGGGCACCAGCGTGAAGGTTCAATATGTTAAGCATAATTTGAAGATAATGGTGCATGAACTTCAAAACTGGGACAACGAAATGATCGTGCCAAACCCCGACCAGCATGACTCAGATGAAACTGAAGGCACAACTCTACGAGATCCTCAGTACACTCGTTCATGTGGCAGGCCGCGTTTGAATCGGTATAGAGAAAGAATTGAATACTACTTTATAAGTTCATGGCCACATGGTATATTTGGAGCTAGTAATGGCGGAAGAACTGGTGTTAGAGGGGGTGGCAGGGGTGGTGGAAGGATTAGTGGTAGTGGTAGTGGTAATCGTGGTGGTAGAGGTGGCGGTAAAAGTGGTGGACGTAGGGGTAGGTGTAATGGGTAAGGCAGAGGTATAAACATTGAGCATGATGGTTCTCTTAGTAGGAATGAGGTATAATTTTGCAACTATATTTGATTTATTACTTAAACATATACTTTTTTCTTATAGTGTATGTTTGATTTTAATTGCAGCAAATTGACGCTACACAATCGCAAGCAAGCTTGTTTGATGTCAATGCCGAACCAGACTTGGAACTATAATATTTGATGACCGAAACTTGGAGTTCTCAATAGGCCTAGTTGCATTGTTGTTTTATTTGGTCTAGGACTTTTTGTTTTTGAAGAAATTTTAATTGTTTTGCATAAACTTTGTTGTTTAATGATTTATAAAACTTATGCATTGCTAGTTTGTTTAAAAGTTCAACCAAAATGAATTCTTTAACGTTTATGCCTTATGGATGGCATATTAGCTTCTACATAATTGTAGCTATCTCTCTCATGGCTTTGGCTTAGTTGTATTCTAACGTCAATACTTGAAATAAAATTATTCTAACAAAGAGAGTGCAGAAAGCATTTGCTCGATGCCAAATATTTTGTCGCGTTGAACTCTAATATGATGCACAATCTTAATGTAGCGATGAAGATTAAGAAGTTATTAGAGATGAAGAAATGATATTGAAGTTCATAATACTTAACCTTTGCGATGAAGAAAGCATTTGCTAAATGTTTTCCTTAACCTTTGCTGCCTGGGTTAGAAACCTAGTAGCGACATACTCTTTTTTTATTAACTCACTAATACAGGTATTAAAGCACTTGTAATATTGATTCCAACCACAAAAGCCGATAGACCATCTGGTTGATCAACTCTCTAAGGGCTAGTTTGGTATGAGGGACAAGAAATAATTAATCCTGAGACTAAATTTAATAAGAGTTTATCCCATTTGATTGAGAGAAAACTGCGGTATAATTAATCCCGAGACTAATTATCCCGGAATTATAATATTTTTATCCCCATAGAAAGGTGAAATAACTAATCCCGGAATAATTAATCCCGGGATAACATCTTTCCAACCAAACGACCCCTAAGTTCTTTCCCTTACATATGCTGCCAAGGTTCGAAACCTAACTACAACATTTTCTTTTGTCGAAATTCAGTAAGTTCTTTCCCTTCGAAACTCCTTTCCCTTATTAGTGAGTTTCCATACGAAGATTCTAGGATGGTGGTTGAATTGTATTTAATTTTTCGGTCTCCAAAATTTTGAATCACTAAATATAATTTTTTTTTATTCGTGTTGACTTCTCCAATTCTATATGACCAAATTAATTTCGACTTTCAAAAATAGTGGCCAATATGTATGACCTTAAATAAATAAAATTATATATTGGCTATTATATAAACCGTCAATATAACTATGAATCACAACGATGTAATTAACATAGTTTATATGACTATAACTATAGTCAATGGACTTATATGGTTGCTATGAATAACTAGTGGCCGGTACGTATGACCTTAATGAATGAAATTATATATTGGCTATTATATAAACGATCAATATAACTTCGAATCACAACCAGTATTTTAAAAGGTGTTTTTGGGGCGAGCCCTAGGGCGAGGCGCATCAAAAATCGCCCCGAGGTGATGGTGTAGGGCGAAAGTCTCAAGATTGCGTACGCCCAGTAATTCGGGGCGTACGCCCGGGCGTTCGGGGCGTAAGCCCGGGTGTTTGGGGCGCTTTTTTTAGTGAGGCGTAAGCCCTAGAGACTTTTTCAAATTAAAACAAAATTAGTTTAATAAACCCTTCATATAATACCCAAATTCTCAAAAGTCAATTTGGTAATTACTCAAAAGTTTTAAAAAGGAACTGAAGTGTAATAAATTTAGAAGTCAAGACCTTTTTTATTGATTGAAACCCTAATTCATGGTCTTTCCCAGTTCTTTATCTTATCCACTAGTCTGCTAATATCTCCCAAAAGCAACGAATATAAATTATTTTTTTTTTTACAATTACAAAGAGAACTTCATTCTCCTTCATAGCAGCAAGTTTAAAGTTCAAATTGCAGGTTAGTCATCCTTTTTGTTCGTCCATGTAGAAAACTTTATTCTTTTAGACTCAAGTTACTTGTGCTTATAAATAGCGTATAATAGATTGTTTTGACTAATTTCTAGTGGGGATAAAGCGCGCGCTCGCACACACACACATATATATATATATATGTATATATATAAAGGTTCTATACATCTGCCCTTTCTCAACGCATTTCTTTAGACAAAGACTCCGACACTTATTTAAACCTTCTAAAACTAAAAAGAGTCGACGGGCTCTTCTATTCTAGTCTCCCTGGCGACCACGGATGACAGCACCCACAATTAGGTCTTCCTGTTCTTGGAGGAGGGCCCGTTTGGCTTTTCTTGAACGAATTTGATGATCCAGTGGTACGCCCTCTTGATAGTCGCCCGATTGTTGTTCCAATTCGGTGATTAATTTATGTGACCAGCGAGGTATTTTTTTACTGATATATATATATATATATATATATATATATATATATATATATATATATATATATATATATATATATGTTATATAGTTTTCTTCAATTTTTATGCAATTTTACCTGTTTATAAATATTTACTGTAATTATATTATTTTATAAAAAATTAAAAATTAAATACCTATGGGACTTACACCCCATGCCTCGGGGCTTACGCCCCGTACCTCGGGGCTTACGCTTCGCTGAGGCATATGTAAAATGCCCCGCTTTACGCCCACGCCTTTTAAAACAGTGATCACAACGATGTAATTAACATAGGTTATATGACTACAACCTTAGTCAATGGACTTATATGGTTGCTATGAATAACTAGTGGCCGATACGTACGACCTTAATGAATAAAATTATATATTGGTTATTATATAAGTGATCAATTGAATTAAGTATAGTTGTTATGGTTTGAATTAAATAATTTAACAATTAAGGTCAAAATGTACATTACACAGGGACTAAATGTGCAAAATATAAAACTTAATTCATTAATATTTCATAATTAAATTGCTAATTAGGTCCCAAATCTAACAATTGATGTCAAAATTAACATTACAAGGGAACTAAATATGCAAAATACGCATTTTAATTAGGTTCCAATTATGCATTTTACTAAACGTTTTGGTCAAATATACCTTTTTGAACGATGGAAAAACTTAGTGGTCTCTCTTTGACATATTCTTTTTTTGGATGGTTGGCCGTGTATGTTGTCACACCTCCTTTTTTACACATCTACCCCGAAGGATAATGTATAAGGGAGTTTTTCCATTTAAAGTGACATTATTCGAAATGGGATTATTTATTTATATTTTAGAGTCGCCACTTGGGAAAGGATTGGCTTTTGGGTGTCCCAAGTCACCGATTTAATTTAAATCCCAAATCGAGAAAAATTTCGACTTCCTAATTGGAGTTTGTGAACCAGAAATTCTGAATAAGGAATTCTATTGACCCGAGGGAAGGTGTTAGGCACCCCCGGATCCCGTGGTTCTAGCACGGTCTCTTAAATTATTATGAATGGCTAAAATCTGATTTTTTATACATGTTCAAACCTATAGTGCAATTTTAGAATTATTTAACCGCTTTTAGTTAAAAAAAATTTAGAAAGTGAACGTCGTTTAAAAACGTGTTTTTGGATCACGTCACATGAAATGCACCCGGATCCTCGACACATTCTTATTCAACATTTTGGGATTTGGATTTGGATTGCATGAAATGCACACCCGTATTTAGGAAGGTAAAATTATTAAAAGCGCACCTAAAGCGACTAACGGGTTATTATCTTTGCGGAGGGCGGTGAAATTCGCTAAACGGCACGCCCCAAATTCTAAGTATTTTAATAGGAGTATTTAAGGAGGGCCCCGCAATTTATGTATTTTATTTGGCGAGGCTCATCTCATTTATTATTTAAAGGCCAAACTAGAGCAAACTATGATTTTCTATTTATTTTTTTGTCTCTAAAAGGGCCTAATTAATTTACATTTATAAATTCGGGTCTCGGGTTCAAGTCCGAATTCAAACAAAAGGGAAACCCTCCTAATTTGAACCCGCTACTTAACTCGAGAACCTAAATTCATATTTGCAAATCAATCCCCATATTCCTAATATAATTTCAAGGATTTTTGATTTCAGCATTTTTGGGCCTTCAAACTTGGCCTAATCCTTGTAACATGAAGCTGCCCGGCAATTTGGACCTCATTGAAGTCCAGTTCGATCAAAAATAAGTTGGGTTTTCTCATTGAAGAGCTAGGCCAAATGTGCTGATTTTTAGCTCTTCTAAAATACAAACCAAACAACTCCTTAAAAGTATATCAAAAATTTTATGTATGTGTAACTAATGGTCTAAAAAAATCGCATCTAGTTGAAATGGAACGAGAAAGTTTCAAAACGAATGTAAAACGTTAGCGTCTTGTTGAGGAAAGGATCGTACATGAATCTGGTGTTGGGTTTTTAAGCTATTAATGCTTAAAATGGGATGAATGAGAAATGGAGGAAAAAATAAAATATTTGAGTTTCCCTCCTTGATTGTCCCATATGGGAAGAGGAAAAGTTTTTTGATGGGTATATAAGCAATTGCTCTTCTTCTAGCTCATAAAGAGTTGAGAAGAAGGCAAGCCTCGCGCCGTCGTCGTCGCTCGGTTTCGGCTCCGGATTTGGTCAAATGATTGATTGATTAAATTTTTGGACCAAATTTATTTGTTAATAGTAAAATATTAACAGAAATGTTATTAAATATTCGTTTTAATAACAAAATATTAATACTAAAATAAATATCAATATTAAATCCAATCAGTTTTCCGTTTTTCAGTTGTATAACTGAAAATTAAACTACCCTCTTCAATTTTCCCTCTTTATTGTCGAGTAAATAGCCATTAATGTTATGACATTTATGCTGTGGCCGTTTTGCATAAACAACCATTCTGAAGAGTTGCACCTCTTCAGATTTCAGCCCAACTTTGGCTATAAATACAAGTCCATTCTCTCAGATTTTCCATACGAATTTTCTGAGTTCTTCTCCTTTCTTCTGCATATTTTAACTTCAAAGAAAGCAACAGTAAGTGTGATTTGCTACCGAACTTTGTGTTCGCTGAAACACTTGGGTTTGAAGTACCACTACACCAGTGTGTAATTCGTTCTATCCTGGGAGGAAATAATCCATAACCTTGGGTACTAGGAAGGGATTAAATTCCTTAAGGGAATACTATAAATTCAGTGGGCTCGAATTGGTTTTTTTTATTTTTTATTACATTTACATTTCTGTTTATGTTATTTTATTTTCTCCAGAATTGTTTCACAAATACAGATTACTAACAAGCTTAAGGAACACTACTGAAAAATTGGTCTATGGTAACGCATGGAAAACCGTTCCAGTAGGTAGATAAACCGTTGCCGTAGCGATATTGGAACGGTTTACAGACCGTCACATCTGCTCGCGTGCCAATAGAGCTATAGGAACGGTTCTTGGAACGGTTTTCATATTCGTTGCTATAGAGACGTCTATCGCAACGGTTTTCCTTTTATCTATTGGAACGATTATTCCTTCCAATTGGAACGGTTTAAAACCGTTACTATAATGTGTATGCAACGGCTCATAACCGTTACCATATTATCTAATGCAACACTTTCGTAAGCTATTGTTACGGTTATTTATGGATATAACAACGGTCTCTTTAAGCTATTGTAACTGTTGTTTTTGTATCGCTACGGTTTTAAATACCTACTGGAACGGTTTAGAGGGCATTTTGGAACGGTTTACTGGATCTATTGGAACGGTTTACATTCTAATGGAACGCCATTTGTGTCCTATTGCAACGGTTATGGTAGGCTATTGTAACAGTTCATATAAAACAGAAATATAGCTCCTATTGTAATATATATATATATATATATATATAACACTAAAATTTAAATAAATCACAAAATAAAATTATTGATATTATAACTTGTCCAACAGGCTAATAATATCCATAAAAGTAAATGTTCTACCCCATGAGTGCATAAGTTTAGTACATTTTAAGAGGGTAAATAAGTTTCAAAAAATATTGGTAACAAAAGATTCCTAGAACATTCATCTATAACAATTCAAAATTATCTCAAGTAAGGTCTAGTTCTCATCGTCTTCATCATCCATTTCTTGATCTACTCCACCTACAAAAGAGGATAAATAAAGTTATTATCCTTAAAGAGAATCCGGTCTAAGAATACTCATAGCACAAATTGCCATGAAATTCTCATCGTTTCAAGAATTTAAGTAAACTTTATGGTTTTGTATACCCCAAAGATATAATTCTCATCGTTTCAAGAAACTGTAACATGCTTTGAACTTCTTGTTCCAATGAAGACAATTAATGCATCACAAAAACCACTATAACTTCTTCTATGGACAGTGTGAACAGCATATCTATAGAAATACTTAAAAGACTACAAAAATACTGATCTCTTTGCCTACAGCTTGTTGTTTGCTTTTCTCAAGACATACTTACTGTAATTTATTTCTAACTCCTGTTCATACTATCTATCTTTGAACGTAAATTGAAGGCAAAAAGTATAAAATAATCAACAGCATTCGACTAGACTATGTATATATACTAGATGAAGATTGCCCGTGCAATAGCACGGGCCCAACAAATTAAGCATTTTGTTTGTTTTTTCGCAAGTGTTCTGCTACCAATGGAATAGTGTTCCATCTGCAAATAAGAAATTGCGCAGCAGATTTTTCGATATAGCATACAAAATGGTAGGATAGTACAATAGCCGCAAAAGAGGACATAAAAAGAACCTATAATATTACTGCTATATAGTCAACCATAAGTAGCAATTACAACCAGGTATTACTGATATGATACCCATAAAATTTGAAAAATGTATATCTTCAAGTGAAGCAACCCGTCAAGAGTAAGAAGAACAAGAAAACACACTTAAGAATTCATCCATGTAACCAAAAGGTGTTCATATAACATGTAATTAAAAATGCCGCTACAGGGAATCTTACGCTTTGAGTATATGAATGAAGAAAATAAGCGTTGAAGCTCGGACATGCCACGTTTCATATCGTTTTCAGCGAGATCCACTCTTCCAACTGCTCAACTCTTTCACATTCTTCTCAGCTTTACTAAACTTAGCCTGAAAAGTTGAATTATTACCTTAATCAAATTGAATAGGAAAAATAGCAATGCTTACTATGGTATGATTGACAGCCCAAGAAGTAATTACAATAGCAATGAAGTAAAGAAAGGCATTAAGGATCAAAAGCATATATGCTGCTGATTTTCCTCCTGTCCTGAAGCCATGGCTTAATAAGTTTAGTTTTCACAGAAGCAAAAAAGAGAGATTTTATTGCCAGTAGTCACTTTCCAGCCAAGTTCCAATATAACCATATTTTCCAGCTGAGAATAACCGAGCAATCCACACTTAAGTGAATATGTGAGTTCATAGATTAAAGATAAATGATTTAATTGAAAAAAAGTAAGCAGAAGTAGAGTCAATATCCACAACTCCAATATCATCTTCAAACGTACGTAATATTACAGACACATCCTTCTTACTTTTAATAAGTTTGATATCATATGATAGAAATGAGACCGCCATTTTGTGGAGTTGCTGATATATTTTTGTGAATTTTGTTCATAAAGAAGGGAATAAAACTTTATTACACCAAAATAAAAGAATAAACATATAATGCAACATGAAAACATGAAAAAACTAAAAATCAAATGTACAAGGATATAGAAATGCATGTCTTCATGTGAACATCCATACATAAATTGTTAGTAAACTATTTCTGTTTTGTTCTTTTTGGTATCAATTGTCAATGTGTTAGAGCGAATGAGAACGTACCTGATGAAATCTTCTACTACAGATTAGTCCAAAAACATCAAGATCTTTGATTTCTCTGTGCATATACACTTACCGGCTTCATAACTAAGTCAAATATTTTTAGCAGATTACCTCTTCAGTCTGGAGACGGCCCAGTGTTAGACGAAATAGAAATCTTCTAGATCCTGCAGGAAGATGTCGTTTAGCTCAGCACAGAGGATAGCTTGATATTAGTTACCAAACAATGTATCATTATTTTAACTAATGAAACTCAGGAAAAAGCATCTTTAGAGAAAAATAAAACAAAACAAAAGACTTAGAAATGCACATACTTGTCTTTGGATTCTAGATTGATCTCTTGATTCCTTAAAATTTGCAACTCCTAATAACAAGAATCCATCTCGCTAGATGGTAAATCAAATATTATGTAAAGGGAAACTCATTTAAAGAAATTAGGTGTTATTTCAAGGGCAAACTCATTTAAAGAAATTAGGCTTAAATCCTCCAACATTCACCTCTTTAAGGACATGATCATCAAATTGTTTTAACAAGAGATAATTTAGTTAAAGGAGATGACCAAGTTTGGGGTAGTGTCGATGCTGCAAGAGAATTTTCTGACTTTAAACTAAACTGAGATCCTTCGTAGAACATAGTAGATCAATTAATGCAACTTTAAACAACAGACAACCACCATTCTCTGGAGCTGCGAGAGAGCTAGACACCAAGAGGAGAATGGCAGCAGATTTACCCAAGAAAGCATCATAGGCACCCTGCTCTACTTAGATCTCTATCTCATCTTTCTGAGCTTTCTCTTCAGCTTCCTCATACGCTTCTTCTTCCACTGCATTTAAAAAAGAAACATTGGAGGCTGCCGCAGTTACAGTGATAAAAGAGAACAAAAATCTTAGCAAACTCCTTTTTGGTACACTTAATTGTCATCTGAAGAGCCTTAAAGCCTGCAACAAAAAATGTAGTTCCAGAAGAGACTTACAAGAATAGTGACATGGATTATTGTAACTGTCTACTTTGCTAAATTTCTTAAGGCACTTGAGAGCAATTTTTCATGTAAAGGACCATGATGGCAAAACAAGGGTATCCCATTTAGCTCTTTACCAACATTACATGGACAGCACCAGTGGTGCACTATAACTTCAAATTTTTTGTGGTTTAAAACATGTAAAATAGCATAGCAAAAATTCAATAATAGAATAAAGCATCCAAAGTAGGATTAAAGCATCAAGCATCTGTCATAACTCATATTTTTCCTTGAGCTTGGAGGAATTTTTCAACAGGGAAATTGAGCGTGTAAGCATACAATTGAGGAATCACCCATATCGAATACTTTCCAGCAAGTTTTGAAATACTTGTATTCTAGTGTAATAACATCAGTAAACTCGAGAGAGTGAACGCTTTCTCGTGATTGAGGCGTGGAAGCATTCAGATTTTTTGTGCAAGAATTATATTCTAAGTGGGCTGGAGGATGCTTTGTATGACGTCTACAGTAGCGTGGAAACGTCAAAAGAACTGTGGATTGCGCTTGAAAAGAAATACAAAACTGAAGATGCCGGGTTAAAAAAGTTCGTTGTTGCAAAGCTTTTGGACAACAAAATGGTAGATAGCAAATCTGTTATTATCCAAGTCCAGGAACTGCAAGTGATTATTTACGATCTACTTGCTGAAGGTATAAGTAGAATTAATACTAGTGTTGATAGTATTAAATTATTAATTTTATTATGTTTACTAACAATTGACACCTAGAAACTAACAAGGATCCCGCTAACAGGGGCCTATGAAGATTTTGTAGAGCAGCGTTGGCCTCGGTACAATAAATCAACTCCTCTTACATAAAATGTCTTTTTAAAAGGCGTTTTACCTTCAAGAGCACGTTTTATATACTTTGATCATTAAGTTTTTCCCCATCTATTTCGATATTTTAAGTCCAAAAGAACCACAATTGGTTCCGGACTGCTGCTACCCTCGTTATTGGGTCTATATAAACAAGAGGCATGGTATTAAAATCCAAAATACCATCAATTCTTGGCAAACTGGAGTAGAGCAAGTACTTCTCTGTATTTTCTTTTCTTTACGGAAGGTAGTCATCTTCTTTTCATGCCAATTTTCCTTCTTTCATGTCACTTTCAATATCAGTATAATGTTATTTCCTTTTGTACTATTCAATTTTACTTTATGTCATTTTCAGCAGGTACAATGTTACTTTTCTTGCACCATTCAAGAAATACGTAACAAATTTCATCACAAACTTTACCTCAAGCCTTTTTTTTTTACTTCAAGTTGTAGAATAAGTCAATGCCAACTCTTCTTTGCTTTATGTCATTTTCAGCAAGTACATCATTACTTTTTGTAGTTTCACTTCTTCGTTTTTTTTTTTTTTTGCAAGAAACACCCAAAGTGAAGATATTCTTGGACATTTATCACAAACTTTGTTTCAAACCTCTCCTCTTTTTTTTCTTTTTTTTTAAAAAAACAATAGGTACATGCCAAACTTTTCTTAGTCCCCTTTTATGGCAATTTTAAATAAGGCTAAGAGCACTGTCACCTAATGCTTTTATTTCATTCATGATCTTGCCCTTTCTTCTGAGGCGAGTCACATGAAAACACTTTTATTTTCATTAACACTTTTTTTTTAAAAGTTTGCCATGATAGAATTTAGTCACAGCTTTGATTTGGAGAAGTCAATAGAGAGGCCCACGTAATTATCATTTATAAAAATGGTGTTCTTTCTCTGTTAACTTGTAAGGAGAGATTAAATTTCTAGAGAAAACCCTAGGTTCTAGTCGGTGTTTAGAGAGAAACTAAAAAACCATTAGGTAAATAGAAAGAGACGAAAATGATCGATTATTCCCAATAGACTTTAATCAGTCTATTAGTATGTACACTTTAGTCCAAATAATTAATAATATCCGGACATGGGCCGGTTCGCAGTATAAGAGAAAGAAAAGAGGCCCAACTATACAAAAGGTCCAATAGAACAGAAATGAAAAACCATCCTGGGTTTAAGTCTAATAATTTCCTTACTCTATCATCCCCCCTCAAGCTGGAGGGTGAGTGCACACCCAGCTTACACAAGAGCTTATGATGGGGAACACCTGTCAAAGCCTTGGTCAGAACATCGGCAAGTTGATCTGCAGAAGATACGTGTTTAAGAACAATAAGGCCAGAAGAAAGCACATCCCTCACATAGTGACAATCCACCTCAATGTGTTTGGTGCGTTCATGAAAAACAGGATTTCTAGCAATGTGAAGGGCAGCCTGACTATCACAAAAAATAGGGACATGAGTAGTAATAGACAGCCCCATGTCAGCTAACAACCTTGTTAGCCAAACCACCTCAGCAACAACCTTCCTTAAAGCTCTATATTCTGCTTCAACGGAAGAAAGAGAGACAATAGGATGTTTCTCAGATTTCCAGGAAATAGGGGAATCACCAAGAACCACATAATACCCAGTCACAAACTTTCTGGAAATGGGGCAAGCAGCCCAGTCAGAATCTGCATAAGCCTTCAAGGAGAAATCAAGGGCAGCACTCAGCAGAATGCCTTGGGTAGGATCATTGAGGAGGTATTTGAGAACATGCAAACCAGCCAGCATGTGAGGAACTCTAGGAGACACAAGAAATTGACTGAGATGTTGCACGGAATAAGAGATGTCAGGCCTGGAATGTTGGAGGAAATTCAGCTTGCCAATTAATCTTCTATAGACAGTAGGATCAGGAAGAGCTTCCCCTGAGTCAACAGATAATTTGACATGAGGATCAAGGGGTGTGAGAGCAGGTCTGACCTCTGAACAATGGAATTCAGAGAGGAGCTCCTTTGTGTACTTCTGTTGGTTGATAAGAAACCCCTGATCCACCTTAGAAATCTCAAGACCCAAAAAATAATGGACACTCCCAAGGTCTTTGATCTTGAATTGATGATCAAGGAACGATTTCAGGCTTAACATTTCAGCATCATCATTTCCAGCCAAAAGAAGATCATCCACATAAATAGCAAGAAGGACAATGGAAGTTGTAGTCACTTTGGTAAAAAGAGAGGAGTCATTCTTATTAGGAGAGTAGCCTCTTGAAATGAGAGATTCTGAAAGCTTTGCAAACCATTGCCTAGAAGCTTGTTTTAGCCCATAAAGTGATTTCTTCAATTTACACACTAAAGGAACATCAGAAGATGTGGACTCAACAGAGAGACCTAAAGGATCTTCATGTAAACTTCTTCATTAAGATCACCATGGAGAAAGGCATTATTGACATCCATTTGGTGCACATTCCAATTGAGTTTAATAGCAAGGGTAAGGAGGCATTTGATGGTTGTCATCTTAACAACATGGCTGAAAGTTTCAAATTAATCAATGCCATCCTTTTGAGAATCACCCCTAATCACTAGCCTAGCCTTATACCTTTCAATGGAACCATCAGACTTTTGTTTGATTTTGTACACCCATTTACAAGGGATGGCCTTTTTCCCAGGTGGAAGAGGCACAATGTCCCATGTGGAGTTAGCATCTAAGGCCTGGAATTCCTTTGCAATGGCTTCCTGCCAGGCAGGATGTGGTGCAGCTTGCTGATAGTACTAAGGTTCAGAGGGTAAAGAGGCAAGGAGTTGAACAGAAGAACAAATATAGTCCTTGAGATAGGTTGGAGCATGGGAAACCCTGGTGGACTTCCTAAGGGGGAGAGGTTGTGCAGTAGGAATGAGTGGAGGAGAGGAAGGATGAAGGAGACTGGTTTAAGGAGTGAGGTGATGACTGACTAAGGAGGTGAGAGGAGTGAATCGGAGAAGGAGGAGGAATACATGAGGGAGGAGAAGAAGAAGGAGTTTGAGAGTCCACAAAAGGATCAGAAAGGATAGGGAAGCCAGAAGGAGGAGAGGATGAGTGGTAAGGGAAAATGTGTTCATGAAAAACCACATCCCTAGAGTAGAAAATGGAATGATTGGTTAGATCCAGTAGCTTGTAACCTTTTTTCCCTAAAGGGTACCCCAGAAAAAGAGAAGGGGAGGCTCTTGGCTGAAGTTTATCTCTCTTGACCTTTGGTATAGTTGCAAAACATAGACAACCAAAGGTTCTTAGATGAGCATAAGTAGGAGGGTGACCATGTAGTTTGTGGTAAGGGGAGAGATTTTGGAGGACAGTGGAAGGAAACCTATTAATGAGATAGGTAGCTGTGAGCACACAGTCACCCCAATATTTAATAAGAAGCTTGGATTGAAATAGTAATGCTCTAGAAGTTTCCAGAAGATGCTTATGCTTTCTCTCAACCACACCATTTTGTTGAGGAGTATGGGGAATGGTAGTTTGGTGGAGAATGCCAAACTCAGCAAAGAAGAATGAAGCCTTGGCACTAGAACCAAGTTCAAAGGCATTGTCTGACCTAATGGTTTGTACAGGGAAGTTAAAATGAGTTTTGACCATTAGAACAAAAGCCTTAATGAGATCAAAGGCATTACTTTTACAAGAAAGTAAGTGTGTCCAAGTTACCCTTGAAAAGTCATCCACAATGGTTAAAAAATATCTAAAACCATTATATGTTCTAGTATGATAAGGACCCCATAGGTCAACGTGTACTAATTGAAAAGATTTAGTGGATTTAATAGAACTATCCAGAAAAGGGAGTCTGTATTGTCTGGCTAAAGGACATATAGGACAAATAAATGATTGTTTAGAAGACAACTTATCAGATAAGAAGTCAATAGATTTCATTCTATGAAAGGGCATATGTCCTAGTCTTTGATGCCAGAAAATATCAGTTTTATTAATAGGGCAATCAGGATTACAAGTAGAAATGCAAGCACTATAATTACACAAAGTAACTGATGCCTTATTTGAAATGTTATTTACAAGGAGAGTAGACTTTGGTAAACTGACTGATCTTTTATTTGTGATGTTATGTACAGATGATGTAGGTGCTGGTAGAGTAACTGCAGAATCAATGACATAAAGTCCATTTGCTGCTCTACCAATTTTCAATGGCCTCCTCAGAGAAGGGCCCTGTAAATGACAGAAAATTTTGGTGAAGAAAGCTGTGCAACTAAGTTGATCAACTAGTTGAGGCACAGAGATTAAATTGAATTCAAAGGAAGGGACTAAGAGGACTTCTGATAAAATCAAATCATCACATAGTTGTAAAGAACCAGTGCAATGAACTTTGACCCTATAACCATTTGGAAGTGTGACAAGATAAGGAAAAGGCAGAATTTGGATGTTGTGTAACAGGTGTTTATTAGGTGTCATGTGGTTGATTGCACCTGAGTCTAGAATCCGGGTGTTGATTTTTAATTGTGATGCACAGCACAAAGCAAGAGAGTAAACAGCAAGACTACAGACCACACCTGCACAAGCAGCCATTGCAGTGGTGTTGCCAGTTGAATCTTGAGAAGGGGAGATGTGAGACTGTTGAAATAAGCTCATGAGATGCTGGTACTGTTCCTTGCTGAACCCATGGAC